CTAAAGAGAGAAACCCTGTCTCGAAAAACAAAAAAAAAAAAAAAAAGTTATGTTTGTGTCTGTGCGTGTTCATTGATATTGATGTAAATGTGTGTGTGAGTGGTACTTATGGAAGTCAGAGGACAAATTTTGGAAGTCAGTTCTCTCCTTTGATTATGTGGGTTTCAGGGATTGACCTCAGGTCATCAGGTTTAGAAGCAGGCACCTTTACCCACTGAACTGTCTTTGCCACCCTAGGGCAGGACTGGAACAGGAACATTGGAATAGAGTCATTGATGAATTGGGGAAGCCAGCCATGTGTTTATTAAAGGTGTGAGCATTTCAGGAGGGAAAGCAGTTATAAAGACTCCAAGGCCTGTGCTTTAGTGATAATTGGGATGAAATGCTTGTTTTGGTTTCGTAGCATTGGGAAATTGAACACTGGGGACTATGCATATATTAAATAGCACTGTGCCAACTGAGTTATAACCTCAGTTTCTGTGATAATGCTTTTAATAGAATTATTGTAGTATAAGGTGACTGTCACGTTTCATGGGTTTTTTTTTTTTTTGGTTCCAAATTCTGTTCCTGTGTGTGTGTGTGTGTGTATGTGTGTGTGTGTGTGTGTGTGTATTTTTGAGTCGATTTGGGCTATTTGAGACTCTGTCTTAATGCATGACCCACATACACACACCAAAAAGGAAAAAAAAATTGAAGGCTAAGATGGTATGAGCCAGCAGCAAAGCAATAGGAACATTATTACAAATAACTTTAATGCCTATGATATATATGGCATTAAGAGCTTTACATGGATTGCTTTTATCAAGACCTGTGCCAGCTAGTTTTACATCAACAGCTAGAGTCATCTGAAAGGATGGAACCTCCATTGAGAAAATGCCTCCGTAAGATCCAGCTGTAGGACATTTTCTTAATTAGTGATTGATGGGGAAAGGCCCAGACTATTGAACCTGGGGCTGGTGGCCCTAGATTCTAAAAGAAAGCAGGCTGAGCAAGCCAGTAAGCAGTGCCTCTCCATGGCCTCTGCATCAGCCCCGGCCTCAAGTTCCTGCCCTCACTGCTTCTGATGATACACCTTTATTTGGGACTATGGGAGAAATAAACCGTTCCCTCCCCAAGTTGCTTGGGTCATGGTGTTTCATCACAGCAATGGTAACCCTGACTAAGACATGAATCTGCTGTTATTCGAACTTTACAAATGAGAAAACCAGCCTGGAGGAAGCTGAAACCAGTTGCTGGATGCTGCAATGGGAAGGTCCCGAAGCCTCTGCTCAAATTTAGGCTGTTCCTTTCAGTAAAACGCCTTCCTCTCCTAGCCAAGGATCACTTCAAGGTGCAGAGGGACTGACTGAAGACAGAAGAGAAATAAAAGCTAGCTTTGTGCCAGGCAGTGGTAGCGTATGCCTTTAATCCCAGCACTTGGGAGGCAGAGGCAGGCAGATCTCTGTGAGTTCGAGGCCAGCCTGGACTACAGAGTGAGTTCCAGGCAAGGCGCCAAAGCTACACAGAGAAACCCTGTCTCGAAAAAACAAACAAAAAACAAAATTGAAAAGAGGCACATCAGTAGGGCAGTGGTGGTGCACACCTTTAACCCCAGCACTCAAGAGGCGGAGGCAGGAGGATCTCTGTGAGTTTGAGGACAGCCTGGTCTACAGAGTGAGTACCAGGACAGCCAGGACTACATAGAGAAACCCTGTCTCGAAAAAGAAGAAGAAAGAAAGAGAGAGAGAGAGAGAGAGAGAGAGAGAGAGAGAGAGAGAGAGAGAGAAAGAAGAAGAAAAGAAAGGAAGGAAGGAAGGTAGAAAAGAGGCACACCACTCATCAGTTGGCATGAGGAAAATGAGCCCAGCCTGGTGGTGCTCGCCTTTAATTCCAATATATAATAGAGACAGGTGGATTTCTGTGAGTTTGAGGCCAGTTTGGTCTATCAGTCAACTTTGAAGCCAACCAGGAAAGAGAGAGATGAGAGAGAGGAGAGATAGATAGATAGATAGATAGATAGATAGATAGATAGATAGATAGATAGATAGATAGATAGATAGATAGATAGAT